TCTCTTTCGGGTGTGTATGAATGTGTATCTTATGTATATGCATGTATACATACATACATACATATATATATATATATATATATATATATATATATATAACTACATGTATATATATATATATATATATATATATATATATATATATATAACTACATGTATATATATATATATATACACACACACACACACACACACACACACACACACACACACATACACACACACACACACACACATACACACACACACACACACACACACACGCACACACATCTATCTGTCTATCTATCTATCTCCATATGCATATATTCGTATATACACCAAAAAAGTACAGTTTTGTACCGTCACAGGCAACAGTTAGGTGACGTCATCGATAAGTAACAAATGACAATCAATTTGGATACCATGACGTCGATACCATGACGTCATCGGTATCATGCTTCATTTCCCTCTCTCTTTCTCGTTGTTATTATAATAATCATCATTATCGTCGATCAAACTACTATTGGTATTGTTCCTAATATCATTAATATAATTATCACCGAAACTATTATTCCTATCCTTGTTATCCGTTATCATCAGCCTTGTAATTATTCAATTATTTAATTTTCCTATAAAACTACGACTGTGATAATGATTATAATAACAGAAATAATGATAAACAATGATAATAATAATATAACACGTTCTTGCTTACGTGGGCATGTGCGTCTCAGTATATGCAATAACAACAGTGACAATAATGATGTTAATGGTGATAATAAAAATGACAACAATAACAACAATAACAATAATAAGAAGTAGAAGAATAAAAAGAATTCGAGAATAATGACAATGACAGTGATAACGGTAATGTATATGGTAATAATGAGCATGATAGCATTATAACAATGATAACGATAACAAATATGAAAGACTGATAATTAAATAATGATTATAAAGAGGAATAATAAGATAATAAAGAGGATAATAAGGACAATGATAATAATGACAGAAATGATAATGATAATAACAATAACAATAATGATATCATTAGTAGTAATAATCATAATGGTAATAATAATAATAACAATAATAATATAATTATACAATAATATTTGTTATTATCATTACCATCTTCATAATTGTCATTGTCATTGTCATTATAATTATCATTATTATATCATCATAATTATCATTATTAGATCATTATTATCATTATCATTGTTATCGTTATTATTACTATCATTATCATTATAAAAGTGATTATACTGATTTGATAATAATAATAATAATAATAATAATAACAACAATGATGCTAACATAAACAATAATGATAATAATAATAACAATGGCAGTAATAGTAATAATTATAATAATAATAATAACAATAATAATAATAATAATAATAATAAAAATGACTAATAATAATAATATTGATAATAATAATGAAAACGATGATAATGATAACAATAATAATGATAATGGTAATACTAATAGTAATATTATTACAACTACTATTACTAATTATAATCATAATAACAATTATAATTATAATAACAAAAAAGATAATCGATGATGATGATGATAATGATAACAGCAACAATATGATAATAATGATAATAATAATAGTAATAATAAAATAATAATAACAATAATAATAAAAGTTAAAACAATAACGATGACAATAATAACAATGATGGTGAAATTGATAATAGCAAAGATGGTTATGATAGTAAAGATGATAATCATAATGATGATAGTGATAATAGCGATGAAAAAAATACTATCATTATTATCATAGTCATTATAATTATTATTATAAAAATGGCAATAATAAATAATGATAGTAATAATAGTAATGATGGTAATGACAGAGATAGTAGCATTAACAGTAACAATAATAGCAATAACAACAACAATAGCATAAATAACACCATCTCTCTCTCCTGGCAACAGCTGATCCGTGCAAGGCAAAATGTATTTTCAGCGCAGACGTTGCACATATAACACGTTTACGAAAAGCTCGCTGTGTACATATGTATGTCGGCGACGGCGACGGCAGAGGCTGCTTATATACGTGCAGAGTATAACCCGCTGTGGCCGCCTTGTCCCCCCTCTCCCCCCCTTTGCCCCTGGTTCTTCCCCCCTTCCCTCTCCCCCAGTCTGCTCCCCCTGCCCCCTGCCCCTGAATGGCCGGGCTGAATTGGATCAAATGAACCCGCCAGACGATTGACTCGCGGCACAATAGACGAGAAAATTCGTCCATTGATGATTTGTTATGTTCTATTGTACCACAGCCTATTATTGTAATCAGTAAAGAATGCCGGAGGAGACTGGCCGCAGGAGATGTGCGCCGCTGGGAGGGAGAGGAGGCAAAGGCGAGGCAAAGGCGAGGCAAGGCGAGGCAAGAGAGGGAAGCGAGGCTTGAGGCGCCTTGGTTCTCCATGGTTGCTTCTTGCTTCGTCTCTTTTCTTTATTCTCGTTTTAGTTTTCCTCTTTTCGCTTTCTCGGGCTTCTT